AAAGTTCTTCCAAAGAGGGGAGAGGGCAACCAATAATCCTTTGGGCAATGACGTTGACCCTCTAGAGCGCTGTCCTATCTGCCACTGGGCAATTGGCAAACCAGACACAATTTGTGCAGTAAGTTAAACTACTCTCTATGGTGCAGCGGTAGAAGGTCACCAGCAGTTTTTCATTCAGTTGTTGTTTCCTGAGAAGTCTCAGGTAGCATAATCTCTGCTGGGCCCTTTTGACTAGGGCTGCAATGTGAGTGTCCCAGGCCAGGTCCTCTTTTATGGTAACCCCCAGAAACTTAAAACTGGCCACTTGCTCCACTCAGTCTCCATTGATAAGCAAGGGCTGGATGTCTGATCTACTCCTTCTATAAGAAAGAGTCTTCTTGTGAGAGTCCTTCTTACCTTTGACATGACTTCTCCCGTCCTCTAGTAGTGGTACTACTATAGTGTTGTTCACATTTCCTGGTGATCTCACCGCAGTGTAGACCACCGGTACCGACTGCACCACCACAGGAATGCGGTGGACGTGACTCATTTTGTTGGTCTGAAGGTTCATGGGGCTCGAAGGTGGAACCGGGTGGATTATGTGCAAAAATTGTTGCCCTCCAACACCAGAGGCAGATGCCACAAGCGGACCTGGAGTTAATACTGATGGGGCCGATGTTGCCGATGCCACCGAGGTTATTACCGTGGGAGACGAAGCTGGCCGACTAGAAGACGTTGAAGTTGAAGAGGGGGACAATGCAGAGGCGGTAATTGATACTGGTGAAGAGGAGGTGGCAAGAGGGGAGGATCGGGCTTTGTTGATGGATAAGTCCACCGGCTCCGTCTGCGTCTGGAAATGATCCGTGCACAAGGTGTCTTCTTCTGGCTCGGCCTTCATGGTGTTCAGCAAGAGGGGCACGGCTTCCATATCTGGGTAGTTATGAACGTTGGGAGACTACGGAGAGAAAAGAAGGAAAACAGGTCATCCCCACTGAACAACCTTTGGAGATATCGCCACGTTGGGTCACACTGCCACATCTTATGTGGTTTTGCCGACTGAAGGTGTGAGCCATTATGGTTCAACTTTGCTTCTTCTCTATTCCAATAGAAACTCAGTATACAAGCAACCAGAAATCTTAAGCCATTGCTATAGGTAAGTCCTCAGCTTATGACCACAATGGAACCCAAAACATCTGTTGGTAAGCAAGACAGTGCAGTAAATGTTGCCCAATTTTATGACCAGTCTTGCCACAATCGTTAAGTGAGTCACTGCAGTTGAGAAGTGAGTAACACGACTGTTAAGGGAATCTAGCTTCCCCATTAACTTTGTTTGACAGAAGGTTGCAAAAGGGGAACACGTGACCCCGGGACACTGCAACCGTCATAAATACATGCCAGTTGCCAAGCATGTACGTGATCCTGGGGATGCTGCAACAGTTGTAAGTGTGAAAAAACAGTCATAAGCAGGGGTGGGCTGCTAGGGGTTTGCACGGGTTCGGGCGATCCTCAAGTTAGGATTCTGCCCAGTTCGGCGAGATCCCAAATGCCACCCCTTGCTAGCCACACTGACTCCACTCCTCCCAGGAGTCTCCACATGGACCGTTCATCATGCCAGTCAAGTGCAGGGCCCGCATGGAGGCTCAGGGAGAGTGGGGGGAAACAGGCCTACTGGAGGTTCCAGAAGTCCAGAAAGAGGCCTATTTCCGGCCTCCGGAGGGCCTCTGGAGCCTGGGGAAAGCAGTTTTCGCCCTCCCGGAGGCTCAAACAAAAACCTCCGGAGCTTGGGGAGGGTGAAAAACGGGCCTACTAGAAGTTCCAGAAGTCCAGAAATGGGCCTGTTTCTGGCCTCCGGAACCCAGCGGAAGCAGTTTTTGCCCTCCCGGAGGCTCAAGAAAAGCCTCCGGAGCCTGGGGAGGGCGAAAAACACCACCCCCTCCCATGGTGCAGGAGGCTGACTAGGCCACACCCACTATGGCCACACCCATCCAGCAACGGGGCAGCGAACCCATTGCTGCAATTTTTGAAGCCCACCCCTGGTCATAAGTCCCTTTTTTCAGTGGTCTTGTGAGTTAGAATGCTCACTAAAGGAACTAAGTCAAGGAGTATCTGTGGTTTATTTTTCAATGCATTTCTTTGCACAGAGAAGTCTCAATTGGTCTGAAATTACTGCAGTCGTAGGAACTATATTTTTAAAGCCATGTTATGCTTGCTATTTCCCCTGTAGGTTTGCAGGCCAGGCCTTGTTATCCAGATCGCTAAAAATTTCTCTGCAGCTCCATTGAATATTAGAGGCATTTCACTTTCACCCCCATCTGACCGGCACATTGAGGTGGGGTTGCTTTCTCCTATTCAGGGTGAGGTCAATTCCTTATTCAATATTACAGCCGTTAAGCGTCAACCAGAGGCAAATGCTTTGCAAGTTGGAAAGGAAAGGAATTTGGGAAAACCCGGTTTTCATGGGAGAAAAATGCAACGAAGGCGGCCATCACAAACCACGTGTAAATCGCCTGGTCTTGTCCTCTGCAAAACCCCAAGCTTACCTCAAAGGATTTCAGGAAAAATGACAGACAGAGGGGGAAGGAGATGGGGGAGGGCCCTTTAGCTTTCATGTCAGGAATGTAGCAAATTTCATGGCCTAGGCATGTGATGGCAAACCTATGGCACCCGTGCACCAGGTGGCACATAGAGCCCTCTCTGCGGGCACGCGAGCCGTCTCCACACCTCAGCTTCAATGCGCATGCTTGCACGCCTCCCGCTGGCCAGCTGTTTTCAGGTCTCTGCCGCACATGCGGGAGGCGGGGCACATGCGGGTGACGCGTGCGAATGCATGGAGGCTGGAGGGGCATGCACAGGGGATGGGGGACGCATGCACATGCGCAGGGGATGGGGGGGAATGTGAGGGTGTGTGGCGCTCCCCCCCCCCGCGGCCCATTTTTGTCCCAGGAGGCTGAGGGAGGCCTACTAGGCCCAACATGGAGCACGGCTAGGGGGTGTGCAGCATTCCCCTCTGTGGCCCGTTTTTGGTCCCAGGACACTGAGGGAGGTCTACTAGGCCTAAAATGGAGCATGGGGGGGGGTGTAGCATTCCCTTTGTGGCCCGTTTTTGGTCCCAAGGCCCTGAGGGACGCCTACTAGGGCCAAAATGAAGCACGGGGGGGGGGGTGTTGCAGCGTTCCCCTCCATGGCTGATATTTAGTCCCAGGACGCTGAGGGAGGCCTACTAGGCCCAAAATGGAG